GTCTCTCAAGATTTCCAAATAAAGCTAGAAAAGGGGAAGATGCGCCGTTACGTATCTACTGATTATAAAAGGAATTTTAATTTTTTGCATAAAGCCTTGTTTGTCAAGAAGTTGATTATCAAGGAATCCAATTTTAAATTCTGTAATGGTGAATCTTTGAATCCACGAGCTTTATGAATTATGCAATTCATTTTTAATCTCAAAGGTAAACAGATCATAATCAGAATCAATGAAATAACTCCGATGATCCCTCTTTTCTGCCTTCAATAAAAAATATTACGCATTATTCACAATTACCATATAAACCCGTTTCATACTGTCGCTATTATCCAAAAATGCCCAAATTTCACAATGCCAAATTAATGCAAAGTTTGATAGGTTGGCAGTGTCTTTGATATGCGGATATACAGAAACACATGTTCATTCGCTTACGTATATGGCGATATTAGCGATCGTAGCTTTGTGCCACCAAACGATAATCGTCAATCTTGAGGGCGTCACACCAGTTAGTCATCCTGTACCGTTGATTGCATCTCCTCAACATTCGTTTTTGATGATATAACGAGAAGAAGTTTCTTCGGATAACACTTCAGCATCATCTCTTCCCAAACAATTCGATCAATGCATCAATTCATACTGTACTCTAATTCGTCCGAGTTCCATTCTCAGCATTCTCAGCCACAGTTTTTTTGTGGATTCTTGGACTATTCTGGAATCCTGTCAAATCAATCGGCAGATTATCAGTTACGTACCAAACATCTTAGTAACCAATGAGAACTCGCGTGACATACGAGATATTTAGACGGGACGGGTTGAACTTCGTCATCAAACTTTCCAGTCATGCGACAGCATCGATCGCACTACAATAACTACCAAGCTCAACAGCAGCAGCAATACTATGCGAATCAGTATCAAAATCAGGACTCTCACTCCGTAATTCTGGTGACCGCCGGTTACGACCACACCATTCGCTTCTGGGAAGCATTAAGTGGCATTTGTTCGAGAACCATTCAACACCCTGATTCGGTAAGTTTGCGATTGTGACGTGCGACTACAATTCGAACCTCAGGCATTGAAATTCACCTGTTACCACCCACTGCTTTTGCCTTACAACAGCAAGTTAACAGATTGTGCATCTCTCCTGATAAAAGATATCTTGCGGCAGCAGGTACCAAACCTTTATTCGACCTCTTTTCTTGAAAGCCTCGAGCTTTGCACTAAATTGCTTGTATTTAGGAAATCAACATATCCGGTTATACGACATCAACAGCCCTAACTCGAACCCGGTAAATTTACAATTGATCCAAATCGTGTCATTACGTATAGCATGATATTTAAATTATTCTGCTTACCAGATAACTTCCTTTGATGGTCACACCGGAAATGTCACAGCAGTTGGGTTTCACTGCGAGGGAAAATGGATGGTCACTGGTAGCGAGGACGGAACCCTCAAAATATGGGATACAAGGCATGTTATATTAAAAAGATATGAGTCTATAGGTTAGATGTGATGGTTGTTGATTTTTTTTCTTTGATTTGTGCGAATCGATTCTAGGGTCTAACAGTTAATTTATTGTTTTTCGTTGGATCAGAGCACCGTCGATTCAACGCAATTATGATCACAAGGCCCCCGTAAATGACGTAGCCATTTATCCTAACCAAGGAGAATTGATTTCTTGCGATCAGAAAGGAAGCATCAAGATTTGGGATCTGAGCGAAAACTCTTGTACCCATGAATTGGTGTGTTAGAATATATGCCTGATTTTTTAAGCACGCGGTTATTCAAGTTTACTTGAATAATTGTAAACTAGGTCCCTGAAGAGGACGTTCCTCTACGTTCCGTGACAATAGCTTTTGATGGATCTATGCTTGTTGCGGCGAATAACAAAGTAATTGGTTGCGGTCGCATTCCTTTTCGATTACCATTTTCGGGATTTCTGATTTGTAAAATTTGTGTAGGGTAATTGTTATGTATGGAAGATGTCTAATACCAGAGATTATACTGATCCACAGACGATCACAAAGTTTTCGGCACACGACCGGTATATCACTCGATGCTTATTGAGCCCCGATGCCAAGTGAGTCGGCAATTAACATTTCCGACTCTCGTGAAATTAACGCTGTTAAATATCGACAAGGTGATCCGAAATCATGTAACTTTGTAGGAATTTGGCAACGTGCTCGGCAGATAGTACAGTTAAAATATGGTCCACGTCAAATAACGAATTTAAATTAGACAAAGAGCTCACAGGACATCAACGATGGGTGTGGGATTGCGCATTCTCTGCTGATTCGGCATACTTGGTCACCGGTAAGCGATATCATTAATTCCCTCACAGCAAGGTAACAATCACACTCATAATTTCTTTACGCGTTCAGCGTCCTCGGATCACTCTGCCCGGCTTTGGGAATTGCAACAAGGTGAAACGATAAGACAATACAACGGGCATCATAAAGCCGCAGTTTGCGTGGCATTAAATGATTTATCAATTGGAAATTAAGAATTTTCCCTAGTTTTTTTTTCTTTTACAAAACCATCAAATATCAAGGATTTTATTTATTAGAGCATAATTTAGGTCGTGTAACTTTAACATTTGGAAAGGGTTATTTTTAAAAAATCAAGTTGAACAAAAACTCGAGCACAAAGTGAATCGTCCTCATTATTACCGTCTAATGAATGACTGGCGTAATTCTAACTATTTTCATTGGAATCTTTCGCTATCTTATTTGAGGAATCATTTTCATTATCATCATCTTGAAATCCCAGATTCCTCATTTCATCATGAGCCATTAGGCCCCTATTTAATAACACGATAATAAGTTTTGCCAGGATGGATGGATAGAAATAAGAGTATCAAACTTCGTAAAATTTAAAATGCTTACTTTTCCATCCTACATTTCAAATAAGCCTTTGATAAATTCTTACAGTTTCCATTGTCTCCCGAATTCTGTCTGAGACACCGAAGATATTCTTTTATCAAATGTTTACACTCTCCTATTGAAGTATAATGCAGTGCGTTATTATGGAAGGACTCTAACATGGACATTAGATAGTATCCACTACCATCATGATCTAGGGGAAAACTTCCTCGCTCAGGAGGTGAAGGAGCGTATGAGACGGTATTTGGCGGTCGACCAAAGGACATTTTTGCTATCCCGATTTAAATTCTTATTTAGGTCAGGATCACAACAAATTTGAAAAAAAAACCGGATCGTATCACGTGATCAAAGTTTATGCAATAAAACGTGACAACACTTTCTCAATGATGATTTTAAGAAACAAATATTTAACTTTCTTTTGATTATTTGGATGAAGGGATCAGACAGTGTGAATACTATTGGTAAATATACATCACTAAAGTTCAGATTTATCTGATACATCGAGTCATCATGTCTCCTCCTCCTGCTAACCAAAAGAAAGATCATAATTCGTCCAACCAATGAACCATCCTACAAAAGTCACGCACGAGACTTGAATGGTGAAATTGCATCGTATCAACTATTTAGGAAAGGTAATTTTATTCATAACCACAACTCTTCTGGAAATGAGTAGGTACATTCAGGCAACCAAGGCACTAGCAGTTGAAGATTCGCTGTAAAACAGAAAAAGCAACAAAGGAGAAAAAGGTTAGAAATTAGAGGAATCAAGTTAAGGTAGACGATTACCGAGCAAAGCGATTCTTAATTAATCGATAAACTCTGTGTAATGTCCAATATATTTTAAAGTTTGACATTTGAAAGAAAACGAGAACAGTAAAGGATACTATTTCCAATTCGGTGCCAGTTGACCCGAGGTCTTGTAATATCTGGAAAGACGGTGGATCCTTGATTCAATTAAAATCAAACGGAATTTAGAGTCCTTGTCTTTACGATTGCGTTCTAAATGCTTGCGAACAGCAACAGCTTTCTTGATCAAATGATATAAATCTTCGGGAATCTCTGGTGCCAAACCTGTCAAATAAACATGTTCAATCGTATTGAAGCCCAATAAATCAAACCTCGTATTGCGATAGATCAAAATATTACCATTAGACTTCAGGATTCGAAGAATCTTATTTCCGGTAACATTCTTAACTTGTGCAATTCCATGAGAGTCTCTAAGATTCACGCCAATTTGGGAAGGTGTCATACCCTTTTTCGCAAATTTAAAAATCTGTTCGCAAACATCTTCGGGTGTGGTTTTCAACCAGGAAGGAGGAGTACGACGGTATGGCAAGGCTGAGCTTGCAATACCTTTACCAGGAGCGTGCATACGACCCATTTTTTATTATCTTTAAAGGGAAGGAAGAACGGAAAAGATAGTTCAACGATCTGTGATGGTGACCTATAAAAAAAATTTTTTTTTCATCAGCCAATAGTTGACCATGATGGATTTGCATAATGGTACAAGAAATTTACAAAGGAACCGTCATAATAGACTATTTTTAATTATATTTCAAACAACAGAATGTATACTAGATGTCAAACACGAAAAATCAGAATATTTTGAGCAAGCATTAACTTAATTACTGTACTTGACAATATTCTTTATTATAAAGTTAAAAAATTATATACAGTATATTTAAAAAACTTTTTTTTATAAGGTATTATAAAATATAAGAAAAAAACATATAAAATATAATATAATACATAACATAAAAACTTGTTTAAAATAACATATTTTTTATTTAAATTGTATTATATAAATAATAAAAAATATGTTATAATCTATTTGATAAAATATTTTTTAAAAAAACAATTATTTTGTATTTTAAAATTTTGTTAAATTTAAAAAATTTTAAACATTAAAAATTTATATTATTGTTTTCTTTTTTTATCAAAATTTTCTTTTAATTTTATATTTTATTCTAATTGTAACAAATTGAGTTTAAATTATATTAACATTATATAAAATTACTTAATTGGTTAATAAAATTTAAAACATTTTTTTACTTAAAGATATATAAGTAAATTAAAAACTTGTATATAATAATAATATAAATTTGAAATTAAAATTATTAATTAAAGAAGTATTTTATCAGTTGTGAAACTTTTGATATATTTAATAATTAAAATAAAAAATAATTTATTATATTTTTTTTATTTATCAGTAAATAATTTTTATTTTTTTATAAAAAAATTTTTTTTAAATTATTTATTTAAGTTTATAATTTAATAGGATATTGTTTTAATTAAACATATTTTTTTAACTTATTTTAAAATATTTAATTAATTAAAAAAAAAACTTCAATTAGAAATAATATATATATATATATATTTTGTGAATGGGCATTATTAAAAATACAATATATGATTTTATTTAAAATATTTTTATATTATTAGTGTTTGTTAAAAACAAATATTTATATAAATAATTTTACTTAAAAACTTGTTAATATTATAATTTATTCAAAAAATAATAATTAACAAATTATCTTTTTGTTTTATTTGATTTTTGAAATTTCTTTATAAAAAATTAATACAAAATAATCATACCATATTAATATTAAAATTATTTAACCAAAACTCTTATTTTATTAATAATTTTTTAAAGAATATATTTGTAGAATTAATATTATAATTGATAATTAGCTATTAATTAAATTTTTTATAAAATGGTTTAGAATTTTATGATACATATCAATTTAAATATAATAAGCTAATATTAAATTATAATACTTAAAAAATTCTTAATATTTTATCTAAATATAGAAAGCTGTTAAAGGCAGAATATGAAAAAGGATTTGTAAGTACGTTATAGCTACTCATTACGCTAGTGCGATGTGACACTTATCGGGAAAACGGTTAGATATGCCTCATTGATCACAGTCCAAATGCACATATAGTGAAAGAAGAAACTTCGTGAATGCATAAACTTTTGGTAGCACATACACCATCATTCCATAGGTAATAAAATCTTATTTTTGAACAACATTCTTTTTGTGATACAGTACCAGCCATTCCAATGTCACACTCTTCTTATCGTTATGGCTAGTTGTTACATTAGTGCAATGTGACATTTATATCGGGAAAACGTTTAGATAGCCTCTATTGACTTTCTTGGCCACCCAAATGCACATATTGTGAAAGAAGAAAATTTGTAAGTACATGGATTTTTTGGTGACACACACACTGTCGTCTTGTATGTAATGGAATCCTGCATTTTGTAATACCCTTTTTATATATAGTTACCGAATGCGTATCGGATCAGTAATCTTTTCCTCAAATACTAAAATTTTAAATAAAATATGTTCGACAAGCATTACAAGAGGGGTAAAATCCACTTAATAAATGCTAGAAAACAAGTATCCGATGAGGATGCACTAGATGCTTATCAAAAAGCGATTAAGGAATTTAAGGCTCAAGGATTCTCGCTATTCCATAACATAAAAGGACGATTAGCCGAAGCTTATTTAGAATGTAGTGAAGTTTACAAAAGATTAGGAAAAGCGGATAATGCAGATATTTACCATAAAGAAGCGAAAAAGTATGGACTGAAGTCTCACGAAGCATTGACTGAACCTGAAACATTAAAAAATCCCTTGCAAACAGAAAACTCTTCCACCGATCCAAGTGTATCACCATCCTCTTTAATAGAGACAAAGTTTTTTACTCAGGATCAACCGGTGACATCTGAGACACATTCGAATATAGATGATATTCATAGCACTTATGATTTGGCTTATTGTTTGCAATCTAGCAACTGCATCCAGGAACAAGATTTACAGCTAAGAAAATTAGCTCTAGAGATTATTGAATTGTTTGCTCAAAGGAATATTAAAACGGAAAAGATTATCCATGAAGTAGTCATCTTAGCATCCATCCCGGATAAAGAAATTTATAAAAATTTATTAGAGCTGAGTATTGATGAAGTCAGAAAATCAACACTACAACATTCCGAATATGTTTTTTTCTTAGCACAAGTGATTCAAAATATGCACAATTTAATTGTCAGAAAAGTCAGTACTGGGAATTTAGTGGCAATATTAGAAGTATTACATAAACATCTAGAAGAACTGCACAAACAAAATAATGAGGTCGAACTCAGCGAATTATTACAAACAATCTGTCTGTTGTTAGATGTCATGGTGCGGGTAGGCGTTAAAGAAATCAGTTTTGAAAAATTACATAAGCCATTATATCAGCAGCTTAAAAAGCTAAAAGACTATCCGGCGTTATCCTACCATGCTCGTTACGCCTGTCAGGCATTGCTATACATTACAAATGATGAAAAATTTTGGCAAGGAGTTATGCGTCGTATTTCTAAAGTGACGATTGGAACTTTAAATTTAGTCAGCGCAGTTAAAAATCTTGATCCAAAAAAATTATTTGAGACATATGAAGATTTCCGTGATGCATTTGAAGGTGTTAGCGAGGTTATTAGTGTTTTTCGAGAAATGTTCGAGGAAGGTCAAGAATTAGAAGAGGGGATAGAAGATATCTGCCGAGGACTTAGAGAAACAAGTTTGTGGTATTTAGCTTTGCGAGATGTAGACACATACCTTCAAGAAAATCAGTTAGTAAAACTCGAGCAGTTTGTTCGTCAAACTCCTTATAAGAAAAACAAATGGTTTTTAATAGGGTTGTGTCAGCGCTTAGGATTGATTGCCTGTATACAACGGGATTCAAAAGTACAACAAGGGGCAGTTGAGTTCTTAGGGGATCTTTATCAAAACGAAAGTCAATGGAAACAATATTCCGAAGTTAAAGAATGGGTATTAGCAATCTTGCGACAATTAGCGGACCAAGGCGATAAAGATTTGAAAAATTACGCCAAAGAGATTATTAGTATAGTAACGCCTGGCAAAATTGAACTCAATTCTTCCATACGCGTGCTACATATAGTTAATTTAGCTAAGAAATTTGAAGATAATTCTGAATTGTTGAATGAAGCACGTCTTAAATTAACACAAAATTTAGGAAAAATTAAAAAAGATTTAGATAGACTTGAACAAGACGAAGAGATTCAAAATGCATTAGACTTATATGTGCAACCAAAAGGAAAAAGTTCTCTAAATTCCACAGAATCTTTTGAATTAAAGGCCGAGGTGAATACTTTCTTAGCTTCAGAAAAAAAGGTTTTACTGCTCTTAGGTGAGGCCGGAGCGGGAAAATCTACTTTTAACCGTGATCTTGGTCGACATCTTTGGGAGGATTATTTATCAAAAGAAAAGTTAGATAATAAACCTATCCCGTTGTTTATTTCGCTTCCAACTATAAAAGATCCCAATGAACAAGTAATTCAAAAGTATTTAAGAGAAATAGGCTTCTCTGAGAAAGCTATCGAAAATCTAAAACAAAGTTACAAGTTCGTGTTTATATTAGATGGATATGACGAGATCAAGGACCGTCGGTTAAATTTTTATGATAAAAATAGACTTCACGAGTGGGAGGCTAAAGTTATTATCAGTTGCCGACCAGAATACTTAGGCAAAGATTATAAAGAAAAATTTAGCCCATATTATAATCTTAAGTTTCTTCAGGAAATTTGGATTGCACCTTTTTCCGGAGAAGAAATTCGAGAATATATTGGAAAGTACGTCGAAAAACGAAAGGATGTTGCTCAAAAGATATGGGATGTGCAAAATTATGAAACCGTTTTAAAGCGCATTCCTAATTCAGATCAGTTATTTGGTAATCCCTTTATCTTAAAGATTGCTATGCAAGTAATGCCTGACTTATATCAACAAGAGAATGAGAACTCAGCAATAAACATCACTCGTTTAACCCTATATAATAAATTTGTGGAGGAATGGTTTAAGCGATCGAAAAAGCGTTTAGGGCGCATTCAACTAAAGAAAGATGAAAATAATGCCTTTGAAATATTAAACGAGTGTGATTTTGTGCAACGTTGTATGCGATTTAACAAAGAATTGGCTGTTGAGATGTTTAAGGCCAATGAAATAGTGGTAGAGTATTCCGACGAAGATGAAAAAAACTGGCGTACCAAATTCTTTGGATATGAAGATCCAAAGACACGTATTTTACGATACAATTCTCCTTTAAGTCGCAATGGTAACCAATATCAATTTATCCACAAATCATTGTTTGAATATTTTGTTGCCCGAGCAATCTATGAGGCGATTTGCAAAGAAGCTAGCTCCATACTATTCGAAAAAAATTCAATACTACGTGATCCTGGTGTTGTTCGCTTTCTAACCGAGTATGTACAAGAAGATGGAAGTTCAAAAGATACACAAAAAACTGATAAATTCAAAGAGAATCTTTTTGACTTTATTGAGAAATCGAAAGAAGACACTAACTTCGAAATTGCCGCAGCAA